GCAATCGGCTTTACTCCCACCATCCTCGGCAGGGCATTTCTCATTGCCAGGAGGATCCGGACAAGCAGTACGAGCAGCTTCAGGTACGCCAGTATTCTTTTCACATTTTGTACTCTTCTTGCCTGAAGCACTACAATCACCATCATCAGAAGTTGGACCTTCGCTCTCTTTAGTCTCTTCAGAAGCCGCCACACACACACAGGCAACACTCAAAAGCAATGCCATAAAAACCAACAGTCGTCGCAGCAACATCATTCGAAAAAAGTTACTTGAATCGTTCAATGAAACCAAAACTCAAAGAAAAAAAAGAGAACCAAATAGAGAACAAAATATATACATACAAGAACACAAGGAAAAACGTAGAAAAGAAAAACAAAACCAAGAAAATCACAAGAGAACACAACGCGCACAAAGATTAAAGAGCCCAAAAAAGAACACAATGCCCAGCACGGAAAAAAGATAATACCAATTAACCCCTCAAAACCGAAAAAGCATTGAGAGCACGATTATCAGAAGCACAAAGCACAGAAATACAAAACATTTTCACTTCCGGTCAACCCGTGTGCAATTATGAATACTTGTGTATTCCTTATTATTGTTCTTCCTCATAAAACACTCCAACAGCAAAGTGAAGGACAAAGCACACAGCGCCCACACAAAGAAAAAGAAACAAAAAAAAAAAATTGAGAGAAGCACCAATCGCACAAACATATCACAGAACTCTAGATACGCTGGTGTGTGTATGCAATTAAGAATACATATATATCAATTAATACTTTTTATTTTTTCTGCACAGAACAGCAAAGGTAACCACAAGCAAAAAAACAATTATTAACCATTAGCCCAACGTACCCAGTGAACACACAGAAATACACACCAATTATGGGTGTAAATCTATATGTGTATATATAAGCAATTATAAATATAAGTTCATCTGTTATTATTATTTCCTTTTTCCCACTGCAAAAAGCAGTTCATCATTATCATAGTGCAAGCCCAGGTGCACACACACAGAGAGAGTCTCCAAGAACACACACACACACACACAATGGAGTAGCAATAATAATAATTATAGGATAAACACAAAGAGAGTAAAAACACACAAAACACATTAACAATAAGAAACACAAAAAAGAAGAGAATCCCAACAGGTGGAAGATTAGTTAGACTGTAGGGATGCATGCAAAAAAGAAAAAGAAAACAAAGGATGACCTGAGTCACACTACCATCACAATCAGCAGACAAGAATACAGGCCAGTGTAACCACAATCAGTAGTGGTACACGTACCCACACAGAACTGCTGATACTGCTGCTGCTGTCTGCATCACCCTTCTTGTTGTTTGTGAGTTCAGGAGGAAGTGTTGTGGTTGTGGTTGTGGTGGTGGTGGTGGTGGTGTTTGATGGTGTTGTGTCTGTATTACCCACATCAGCTTATTGGGTGCTTGGTGACTCACCTTATGTAGGTGTACTTCCATTCACAGTCGTTGCAGTGCTATTACCACCGTCACTCAGCGTGTCTGAGCCGTTTGGAGAAGTTGTAGCTGGTGATCCACTTTCACGTGATAAACTGTCTCTATTCTGAGACTCACCTGGAGATGGAACTTCACCACTCCCCTCTGCAGCTGTAGTAGATGTAAAAGGTTTAGAAGATGAAGTACCACCTTGAACACCACTAGCAGAACCAGCAACAGCATCACTGAGAGTACTTTGTGGACTTGAAGCAACTGAAAGATGACGAGTCTGTTCTGGTGTAGTTAGTCCAGGGTTTTGAGCGGTAGGCAAAGGTTGATTACTTCGATCACTACCCGCAACTTCAGATGGAGGACCAGCACCAGGTTGATTTTTTTTACTGAAAGAAGCAGAACGTTCAGCAGCAATTTCATCAGAAGGACTTTGAGAACCGTGTACAAGACCCTTTGTACTACGTTCTTCCAATGCAGGTGACCCAGGTTCCTTTCGTGGTTCTGGACAAGGAGGATCAGAATCTTCACTGCATCTATTTTCATTTTCACGATTAGTGGGAGGGCAACCATCCGTCCCAGGAGCATTCACACAATCAGGAAGAAGAACTTCAGATATACTACCGCCAGTATTACACTTTGAATCAGTAGTACCTGAGGTACAAGTACCACCACCGGGTAGAGGTGGAGGTGGAGGTGGAGGGGGAGGACCATTAGCCGCTGCCACGCATACAAAGGCAACACTCACCAACAAAGTCAGAAAGCAAAACAAAGGACGAAACATCTTCTTGTAAAGAAATATGTGTGTTGCTTATCGTCACCAAACTGCTAAAAGAACAATAACACAAATGAGAAAGAAACAGTCAACAGAGCATACACTAACACAAACAATGGAAATACAACATAAGAATCAAAGATTGAGGAAAAAACATATTACCTAAATGGACAATAAAGAGATTCACACAGGGTACCCAGAAAGAAGGAAACGCAAACCCCTCAAAAATATAAAAGAATGATAGAGAAGCAAAAAGTGCAACAAGAGCAGGAAACACAACATGGATCGTTATGAATCTTTTAATGAACATCGACAGACTCATGAATACGGATAACGTAGTTACTGTACATTTTGCCAATCTGTAAAATGCAAATAACAATAAGAGTTCAGGGCACAACACACTCAACGCCACAGCAAAACAAGAAGCAAAGAAAAAGATATTAACCATTAGCCCAATTTACCCAGTAAACACAGAAATATACACCAACTATGGGTGTAACTCTATATATGTGTATATATACAAGCAATTATAAATGTAATTCCATCGGTTATTATTATTTCCTTTTTTTTTACTGCAAAAAGCAGTTCATCATTATCATAGTGCAAGCCCAGGTGCACACACAGAGAGATTCTCCAAGGACACACACAAAATGGAGTAGCAATAATAATTATTATAGGATAAACGCACAGAGAGCAAAAAGACACACAAAACACATTAACATTAAGAAACAAAAAAAGAAGAGATAATCCCAACAGGTGGAAGATTAGTTAGACTGTAGGGATGCATGCAAAAAAAGAAAAAGAAAACAAAGGATGACCTGAGTCACACCACACCATCACACCACCATTACAATCAGCACACAAGAATACAGGCCAGTGTAACCACAATCAGTAGTGGTACACGCACCCACACAGAACTGCTGATACTGCTGCTGCTGTCTGCATCACCCTTCTTGTTGTTTGTGAGTTCAGGAGGAAGTGTTGTTGTTGTTGTTGTGGTGGTGGTGGTGGTTGTGTCTGTATTACTTGCATCACCTTCTTGAGTATTTGTTGACTCACTTCCTTCAGGTTTAGTACCATTGACAAGATCAGATGGTGTGTCAGTACCTCCCTGAGTCGTTGAAGCATTACTGTTGTCTGCCTCGTTCTCACCTTGCGCAGCAGTTTCTCTAGTAGAACTCTGTGCAGTTTGCGATACCTGGTCCGATCCATCGTGGTGTTGTGTTGTACCAGGGTTAACTGTATTTTGTTCATTTGAAGGTTGCTCCTTGGTACCATCGCTAGCCGCGTTTTCAACGCTTTCTCTCACTTCCGTAACTGTTGGATTCCCCTTTATGTTCTCGTTACTTTCTTCCTGCTGATTAGGTAGATCTTCTGTGGTTCGCAAAGAGGAACTAGCAGGACCAACAGAAGCACCAGGAGCAGATGGAGAAGTGGGACTGCGTTCCGGTGGTGTTTCGGGTGGTGGAAGTGCAACAGCTTCAGGTTCTTCGCCATGCTTTTGAGTATCTTCTGGAGACATTTGCTCTGAGGAATGTGCTTTGCAAAATTCCTTATTTTGATCCTCAACACACTGTTCAGATGATTCTTCCACTCCACCACTTCCTCCTCCTCCTCCACCATCAGCACCACCACGTCCAACTCCTACACCAACACTTCCAGGTTCAGGACCACTTTGAGGAACAGGCTTCGCAACCCCACCACCAACAAGATCTTCAGTTTCTGCCAAGACAAAACTGCAGATAAAACAGAGTGTGATGGTCAGAACACAAAGCACATGCCGTATTGCCTTCATTACTTTTTTTTGTTGGTGTTACTATGTCAATTGAGCGGCTCAAAGAAAAAGAAAAAAGAAGAAAGGGGCAACAAAAACAAAAAATAAATAACGAAATGCAAAAACGACTTCCATTAATAGAAGAGAGTTATAACAAAAACAATAAGAACAACAGTACATTGATTATATATTTGCAGAACAAAACCTATAAAAACAAAAAGGTCGATAACACAAAAAAATAAAACTCTCAGAAATCTTGTCCATAAGCATGAACATACCATTGGAGTGCCTTCTTCTCAAGCATGATGGCTTCTAATCGGTCTTCCTCTGCAGCTGTCTGCCTCTCCAGGTCTGTACACTTCAGCTGCAGTTCTTCCAATTCATCCTTCACAGCAGTCATATCGTGCCTCACACGTTGCAGCTGCAGCATCAGGTTGTGTGCCCCACTTCGCCAGTCAGTCACGGTAACGGTGGGAGTGACATTATCA